ACAGCTGGCTCTGCCTATCTAGAGGCAGAGCCAGCTGTACCCGTCCCCTCCCCCGTCCGTTCCGCCAGTCAGCGCTGGCGGATCAGAGCGGGGAGGGGGGAATCCAGCCCCTCCCCTGTCACGGCAGAGAGCCGTGACAGGATCGAGAGGTGAGCAAACGCCGGTATGTGTTCGCTCACCTCCCGATCTACTGAGCCGACCTGTGACAGTCTCATTGTCACAGGTCGGCTAGAACTATGAGGTGAGCGAAAAGCACTCACCTCATAGTTCTCCTTTAAAGTGATATGAAAATCAAAATGTTTTAAGCTATATCAAATGCTGATGAAATCACTTACAATGGAAGCAGCTTCTTGATGTTTAAAAGTTTGATTTACCTGCAGAATCAGTTGGTCCCCTGAGCACTGGTCCTGATATCATGTGTTAGGGTGGCTCCTTTCCCTGGCAGGGCCCTATGGAGCTACCCTTGTGTGTGCTAGTAAGCTGTGTGTGCCTCCACACAAATACACAGGCAGAGCAAGAAAAGCCACTAGCCTCCTTCCTGCTAACTCCCCTTTCCCTTTTCCAGGCTAGTAGATGGACAACTGCTGTAGACTGCGCTGTCCCTTTTGATCTTGTACTGGACAGGAGGTTCAGGGAAGCCGAGCTGAGAGAGTTGGAGCTGTTTTTGGAACATGATGACTGTAAGTGTTTAGGTAAAAATGTAAAGAAATGCTTTGGTGGGCAATGTATACTTGTCTGATCTGGTTTCATTATTGATATAAGTTTGAGAGTTTAATACTATTTTAAGGAATAACAGTTTTATATTTGGTGAAGACTTACAGAGGGCGGTTGGTTTCATTGGATGTAAAGCATTAGAGCAGACACGTACATAGTACCTGCACCCATAACACTCTGGAGGTGGGGAGTTGCTGTGAAAAATGGAGCAGTAATTGGATTGCTATAACCTAACTCCGATCTGCTGAGGCTTGAACTGACTCATGAGACGTATACCCACTATGCCCATTGGTTGCATTGGATGTAAAGCATTAGAGCAGACACGTACATAGTACCTGCACCCATAACACTCTCCAGGGGGGAGGCGGCGTGAGAATTGGGCTGTAATTGGATTGCTATAACCTAACTCCGATCTGCTGAGGCTTGAACTGACTCATGAGACGTATACCCACTATGCCCATTGGTTGCATTGGATGTAAAGCATTAGAGCAGACACGTACATAGTACCTGCACCCATAACACTCTGCAGGTGTGGAGTTGTGGACCTGACTGAGACTTGAACTGACACATGAGACGTGCAACCACTATGCAACACTATGGTGCATAAAAGCAGGAAGCAGGGACTGCATATGTAATAAGCAAATATAGCTCCCCTACTAAGATAAGATTACACATTGTACATAGAGAAACATTAAAGTGTGTACATTTCAATGAAAACTGGAAACATGGATGTGTTTTAAAATGTATCAAACACTCACATGCGCACACTTATGTAGTGAGGTTGAAAAAAGACCCAGGTCCATCGAGTTCAAGCAGTAATATATAAAAACACTGTAGTTTCCTGGTAAGTACAGTATTGCAGATAAAATAGAATTCTGTACGGCTGCTTATCAGCCACCTGACAATACAACTACAGCTCCTTCCCCAGCCGCTTCCTTCCCTCCTCCGCAAATCAATAGCGTAAGCCCTTTTGTGCAGTGAATTGTGAGATGCTGACAAATGTACGGTCAGGAATCAAGTGGCACAGATGTCTGGGGGCCTCAGATCAAAAGTGTCATTTTCACAGAAAAGTATATTAGCTCATGCTACAAATGGTCTTATTAACGGGGGCTGATGCACACATGGGCTTCTGCTGTGCGGCTGACCTGGATATCGCCGGAAGTGATGATTTTAGCCAGTGCGGTATTACTGTAATTACCAACCTGCTCTGTACCCCCTGAGGATATTAGGAAATATAGAAATATATATGTGTATCAGTTGTCCATAGTCAGCACTCTTTCCCGATCATTTGCAGTGCATGCTGGGAAAAGGATAGGACCTCCATAGTCCATCTTGTATAGATTAATTCTGTCATTTCACACTCGTAGATACTCTGGAATTGCCAACGATGCATTTTGGATTCATAAATACAATGTATCCTCTGTAATATAGAGATTGTATAATGACCTGTGTGATGAATATGTGAAAGTGGAGGACTCTCACTTTTCCCTGCTGGTTTATTGCAGATTATTTACCTCCTTAAAGTGGACATCAGCCATATTTTTTATGATAAGTAACGTGTAAGAGTAACAGTTCCAGGTTTTAATACCCCCCACAAACATCACGGTACTCCCCTTGACAATACCTTCAAGGTGGAGGTGGAATTTCATTGGGGAAAGACTAGTGTGTGTGTGTGTGTGTGTGTGTGTGTTAGAGGTGGGATCTCACCCACCTAAATAAGATGAATATGTGTGTGTGCTGGAGGTGGGATCTTACTGGGGTAAGATCAGTATGTGTGTGTGCTGGAGGTGGGAGCTCACTGGGGCAAGATCAATATGTGTATTTGCTGGAAGTGGGATATCACTGGGGTAAGATCAGTATGTGTGTGTGTGCTGGAGGTGGGAGCTCACTGGGGTAAGATAATTATGTGTGTGGGCTGGAGGTGGGAGCTCACTGGGGTAAGATCAGTATGTGTGTGTGCTGGAGGTGGGAGCTCACTGGGGTAAGATAAGATAATTATGTGTGTGGGCTGGAGGGGGGAGCTCACTGGGGTAAGATCAGTATGTGTGTGTGCTGGAGGTGGGATCTCACTGGGGTAAGATCAGTATGTGTGTGTGCTGGAGGTGGGATCTCACTGGGGTAAGATAATTATGTGTGTGGGCTGGAGGTGGGAGCTCACTGGGGTAAGATAATTATGTGTGTGTGCTGGAGGTGGGAGCTCACTGGGGTAAAATCAGTATGTGTGTGTGCTGGAGGTGGGAGCTCATTGGGGTAAGATCAGTAAGTGTGTGTGCTGGAGGTGGGAGCTCACTGGGGTAAGATAATTATGTGTGTTTGCTGGAAGTGGGATCTCACAGGGGTAAGATCAGTAAGTGTGTTTGCTGGAAGTGGGATCTCACTGGGGTAAGATCAGTATGTGTGTGTGCTGGAGGTGAGATCTCACTGGGGCAGGATCAGTATGTGTGTGTGTGCTGGAGGTGGGATCTCACTGAGGTAAGATAAGTATGTGTGTTTGCTGGAGGTAGGATCTCACTGGGGCAGGATCAGTATGTGTGTGTGTGCTGGAGGTGGGATCTCACTGGGGTAAGATCAGTAAGTGTGTTTGCTGGAGGTAGGATCTCACTGGGGCAGGATCAGTATGTGTGTGTGCTGGAGATGGGATCTCACTGGGGCAGGATCAGTATGTGTGTGTGCTGGAGATGGGATCTCACTGGGGCAGGATCAGTATGTGTGTTTGCTGGAGGTGGGATCTCACTGGGGTAAGATCAGTATGTTTGTGTGCTGGAGGTGGGATTACACTGGAGTAAGATCAGTAGGTGTGTTTGCTGGAAGTGGGATCTCACTGGGGCAAGATTAAAATGTGTGTTTGCTGAGGTGGGATCTCCCTGGGGTAAGATCAGTATGTGTGTGCTAGAGGTGGGATCTCACTGAGGAAGGACCAGGAAGAGGCTGATTAACACAGTGGTAAAGTGAATGTAGAACTTACAAATCATACAATATAGGATAGACCAGAACTACAGAAAGTGTCCAGCATCCTGGATATCAGTGACAAACACAAATACTGTTCCACAAAGCATTTCTTTAGGTTACACAGGACCGGATTCCCCACAAGGCCACCGAGGCCCGGCATCGGGGTGGCAGGGGCGCAGAGGGGCGGCAGCTATGTCCTTGTGGGGAAGTTGCCCTCTCTACATTCAGTCCTGCTTTGTACACGCAGGACTAAATGTAAAGTGAGGCAGCCGATTTTTCGTTTACATGTGAACTCGGCGATGTCGCGCATCGGCGAACCTGGCCTTGGGGCGGCAGGGAGAGTAAATGCGGCCCTGAGGTTACAATTAATTTATACCTGCCATTTTACGGCAAATAATATGATGCAACAAACAAGGGTAGGTAAGAAAAGCACCTCACTTTTTTTCTCTTTGGGATGTTATGCTCCCAAAAGAACTAATAGCATGTGGCACTCTAGTAGCACAAGACTGCCGGGCGAGAAAAAAAAAACATACTTTGCAAATAATGTAAAAATGGTGAAGAAAAAGTTGAAGAAAAATAAGAATCCAAATCTCCAGTAGAGTGACAGAGGGAGAGACACAAAGTAACAAAAAGAGGTCACTACATAGACATGAAATATTATTATAGCGAAGGGTCCCAGAAAGAAATAGACAATTTAACTCTATCACTACAGCCAGCTCAGTAGAAGAGGAGCAGGAACCTCAAATGGATACAAAACATGCATGCAATGAGATTTCACCACTTTTTTTTACTTATGCATGCAACCACGGCAGATCTAGAATGTTAGGTTGGAGAAGAGATTCGTGATTTCTTTGCTATTGAACTAAAGAATGAACATGCTAGAAACCTGGTGGGAAAAACTGGTGCAAACACCATTAACAAGTTTCACATGACTTCTTATTCAAATTCCCTGTCTGTAGAGCCATGCCCGCACCCTGGGCAACATCTGTGCCTGGCACACCTATTACTACCACCAATCAACAAGGTGATATGGACTTTTTTAACTAGCAAATGGATGGGAGGCACAAAGGACTAGACAAACAACTTTCGAAATTCGTCTTATTCTTAGAGGACTCACATACAACATCTAAAATTTCCCTTCTCCATCACCAAGTGTACCTCCAAACTGCAGGTGCACTGCTGACCTACTGTGTATCAAGGCCACCAAGAGGCACCTGCTCCGCTCACTGCTCTCTCATGTATGTGGTTGTTTAGATACATATATACTGTATATTCACAAAAGCAGCATTACGTACAGGAAAGAAAAAAAGACATTAAGTGCAATATTTATTGCTTACCTTGAACCTTTCAGACACTCCTTCACTGATGCTGATTGTAAATTCTGCAATCTTAGGAGGGCGGAATTTTCCTTTCTTGTGATCCCGTTCATATTCGGTCTTTGTTTTCACCACAACCTTTTAGAAAAAATTAGAAGTCATGTTTTGATGTTAAAAATAAGATCTGATATTCTGATTACATTTTAAATTGTGCTTTTCCATATATATTTTCATTTATAAACTGTGTTATAAATCATTACACTGTTTAACAAGAAGTCAGAATCCAGCTCAATGTATTTAGGCAACAGACACACGGCTTCCCTGCCACGCAGTTATGTGGACTATTAAGAATTTATATGCCAAACATGTTTGGTTAAATCCAGAAGTGTTTTCTTTTTTACCATTTACTTTTCCTTTACCCTGGCTTTCTGAGCAAACAAGATCATTATAAGATTGGATAAAGGTTTTAGTGCAGAATAACACCTTTGGTAGTTGGAACCTTTTCATAAATATGTAAACATTAGAGCAAAAAGAGGGACAACTGAGGAGGAAAGAGGGACAGAGAGATTTGGTTCCAACTGAAGGACAGTCCCTCCAAATAAGGGAAGCCCATTTTTAAATTAAACCCATTTTAAGACCCTAAATTGCATTAAAAAAAATTGCACAATGTTTGAAGATGAACAGAACAGTCGTTCTTTAAATCC